TACAAGCAGCTCGCCTACTCTAAGCCGCCAGCCTCCTCCTGGTCCAGCATCTTCAGCCACGTCAACCACTGCTGTCCTCCTTGTCCCCTCTCAACCATCCGCCACTCCGCCTCCCGCCTTGAGCAGTTCACGCTCATCTTCCATAACCTCCTCGACTGAGTCCTGCTCTGCTGCTGCGTCTTGCTCCACATCAACGGATAGGGGGCGTAACAGTGATTAAACTTATAACAATAGTACTAAACACACCACTCACTCACTGGTGTCACAATAGCTTGGATTTAAAAACAAAAAAATTTTTTCACTGTTATAGATTGAATAGCAGTTAGTTATCTTCAAGCAGGTGTGTCAGCCCTACAGCGTGTACTCTGCCAGTACGCTGCCCCCTCCTCTACTCCTCCTTCTCCATCCTCTTCCATAACCTCCTCGGCTTAGTCCTCTTCTGCTGCTGCGTCTTGCTCCACATCAACGGATAGGGGGCGTAACAGTGATTAAACTGATAACAATATTACTAAACACACCACTCTATCTGGTGGCACATTAGATTGCAGCGCAGTGCCCAAATGTGTTGTGATCTGTGAGAGTAAAGGTAACGGTTTGTCCATACAGTAGGTTGCGCTTTTGGGGGCCCACACCACCGCTATGCACTCCTTTTCCATGGCGAGTGAATATACTTCGCTGTGCAAAGGTTTACGGCTTAGATAAGCCCCGGGTTGCGCGCCACCATCTGCTCCGACTTGGCTTAGTACTGCTCCCTATCCAAGCATAGAAGCGTCTGTATGGACGAGAAAGTGTTTAGTTGGATCAGGAGCAGAAAGTACAGGTGATTTAATGAGCGCCGTCTTGAGCTGTTAGAAGGCCTGTTCACACTCTGGGGCCCATACTACTATCTTGGGAGGTTTTTACGTGTTAATATATGGCACTTACTGGGATTTAGGGTCAGTCCGGCCTCCCTAATCCGGTCTAGTACGGCTCCTATGTGGGTCAGGTGTTAGGGCCAGGAGCAGCTAAAAATGGCTATATCATCCAAGTAGGTGTGTATCGAGGTGTGTATCAGGGATCCTTAGGACAAATGTCAATCCATATCTGCCAAGTGACCCGATGTTGGGGTAACATTCCCTATTCTGCTCTGTGTCAGTGTGTATCAGGGATCCTTAGGACAGGTGTCAATCCATATCTGCCAAGTGACCTGATATTGGGGTAACATTCCCTATTCTGCTCTGTGTCAGTGTGTATCAGGGATCCTTAGGACAGGTGTCAATCCATATCTGCCAAGTGACCCGATGTTGGGGTAACATTCCCTATTCTGCTCTGTGTCAGTGTGTATCAGGGATCCTTAGAACAGGTGTCAATCCATATCTGCCAAGTGACCCTATGTTGGGGTAACATTCCCTATTCTGATCTGTGTCAGTGTGTATCAGGGGCTCTGATGACAGGTGTCAATCCATATCTGCCAAGTGACACGATGTTGGGGTAACATTCCCTATTCTGCTCTGTGTCAGTGTGTATCAGGGATCCTTAGAACAGGTGTCAATCCATATCTGCCAAAGAGTGACTACGATGTTGGGGTAGCATTCCCTATTCTGCTCTGTGTCCCTGGTGTGTATCAGGGATCCTTAGGACGAGTGTCAATCCATATCTGCCAAGTGACCCGATGTTGGGGGTAACATTCCCTATTCTGCTCTGTGTCGAGGGTGTGTATCAGGATCCTTAGGACAGGTGTCAATCCATATCTGCCAAGTGACCCGATGTAGGAGGAACAGTCCCTATTCTGATCTGTGTCAGTGTGTATCAGGGATCCCTAGGACAGGTGTCAATCCATATCTGCCAAGTGACCCGATGTAGGAGGAACAGTCCCTATTCTGATCTGTGTCAGTGTGTATCAGGGATCCCTAGGACGGGTGTCAATCCATATCTGCCAAGTGACCCTATGTAAAAAAGGCCTGATGAGATGAGCTGCCTTGGGCTAAAAATGGTCCACACGCTGCTGTATTTTAGCTCTGAATGCCTGTTGACTTGTGTGACTTATCCGCCACCAACTAGGGTTCAAGCCGCCAGTGTGTACTTTATAAATGGCTTTATAAAGCAGTGTGCACTTTATAAATGGCTCCACCTGCCACCCGTACAGCAACACAGTCTCCAGTTAGGAGGACCAACCAAGCATCTTCTTCCATCACTTTCCATTGCAAGAAATTACTGCCCGTGTACACGTCCACTGATAGGAGACGCGGAAGGTATTAAACTGGTAAAAATAGTACTAAACACACCACTCCTATCTGGTGTCACATTAGCTTGACCGCGCAGTGCCCCAAATTTGCAGTAAGAGGACGACCAAGCCTCTTCTTCCATCTCCCTGTTACAAAAATCAATGCCGTGTACACGTCCACTGATAGGAGACGCGGAAGGTATTAAACTGATCAGAACAATACTAAACACACCACTCCTATCTGGTGGCACATTAGCTTGACCGCGCAGTGCCCCAAATTTGCGGTAAGAGGGCCGACCAAGCCTCTTCTTCCATCTCCCTGTTACAAAAATCAAAGCCGTGTACACGTCCACTGATAGGAGACGCGGAAGGTATTAAACTGGTAAAAATAGTACTAAACACACCACTCCTATCTGGTGTCACATTAGCTTGACCGCGCAGTGCCCCAAATTTGCAGTAAGAGGACGACCAAGCCTCTTCTTCCATCTCCCTGTTACAAAAAGCAGTACGTGTACACGTCCACTGATAGGAGAGGCGGAAGGTATTAAACTGATCAGAACAATACTAAACACACCACTCCTTTTTTTTGGTGAGGCTTTACAGGACAGAGTGCTTCTCCACAGGACATGTTAACTCACGGGCAGCTGGCTCATCAAGGAACCACAGCAGCTTTCCATGTACAGGTAAGACACGTGCAGCGGTAAGGGTTCAGGCTCTTCTTCCTGGAGGATCTGGCGCTGCAAGCCTGTTGAGCAATTTGACCTTTCGGGTCCAGGTGTCGCGGTTCCTAAAATGGCTGCCTATACCGTCCACTGATAGGAGACGCGGAAGGTATTAAATTGATCAGAACAATACTAAACACACCACAAATAAGGTTTCTCTCCTGTATGGCTCCTCAAATGATGCTTAAGATTAGAAGCGGCTGAAAAGCATTTCTCACACTCCGAATAAAAATATTTTTTTTTAACATTCTCTCCACTTTGAACGAAATGACGTTTGGGAAGAGATTAACATAATTAAACACAGGCAGTAAAAATACAGTTTTTAGCCATACCCTGTAACTTTAAAACTACACATCCATCTTCATAATTACATATTTGGAATCAGCACACTTAAAACATAAACATAACCAAAAATCAGCCAAATCCATCCAGGGGTTAAAAAGTTAGCTGGAGGTCCTTTTATGACCGACGGCAAGCACATTTTCCTGCCCAAAACAGTTCCATAGATTTGGGCTGTGAGGTCGGTCTATTTCAGGCTGAAAAAACGACTAAGTCCCATCGCGAATGGGACTTAGTCTCTGCAGCTGAAATAAGGCTGAAAAAAAGACTAAGTCCCATGGCCGAATGGGACTTAGTCTCTGCAGCTGAAATAATTTCCCATTTACTGAACCAAGTGGGAAATAGCAAGGCAGGCACAAAGGGTTTGCACCAGGTCTGGGGACACAGGGGACACCGTCTTAAAGGGGGCCGTGTCCCCAACAAGTCTGGGACACGGCCTTAAAGGGGCAGTGTCCCAATCTTCCTGATGTCCCAAAAAAGGTGTTTAAAGGGCCAGCACCAGTCACATAAAGAGTCCATAAGCCCCAATATGCCCACCGACAGTCTTAAAGGCCATACACACCAAATAAAAGTGCATACATTTTCACAATCTCCCAGGGGCCATAGTCATGCGGGAGGAGGCTGGCAAATAGGCTTCTCCACAACCCAGGGAAGCAGGGCAATTTGCCATTTAAAGGGCCCATTACAAATGGCAGTTTGTAACAAGGTGTCAATCCATTCAAGCAGGACCTGAAGGTAGGGAATAGTCTCCATTCTGCTCTGGTGTCAGTGTAGACTAGGAACTCAAGATGCGTGTCAATCCATGTCAAGGTGTCAATATGTCATATGTCAGGTGTCAATCCATATTGATTGTGATTTAGGAATGTTAGGTGATTTCTGCCCTTTATGGATTAAAACCAGACTCTGCATCAACTGTGTAATTTTCCATGGGAGTTTTGCCATGAATCCCCCTCCGGCATGCCACAGTCCAGGTGTTAGTCCCCTTGAAACAACTTTTCCATCCCTATTGTGGCCAGAAAGAGTTCCTGTGTGTTTTAAAATTCGCCTCCCCATTGAAGTCAATGGCGTTTCGGGCGGTTCGCCGGTTCGCGAACATTTGCGGAAGTTCGCGTTCGCCGTTCGCGAACCGAAAATTTCGGGTTCGCGACATCACTAGTTGTCAACAGATTGCTTTTAAACTAGTTTCAAAATAATTTAAACAAATATTAATATGTGTTATTATTATGGCTTACAGCATATACAGTTTTCAGTTTATATAGCATTTATTTAAGGATGATCGCAAACAATGAAATATAAATAATTGTTTTATATTGTTGGCTGATTGACAGGCAGGGACGTTTACAAGGTTTATCTATAAAGCTCTAATGATGAGAAGATAAGAGAACAACACTGGCGAGAATGTCAGTGTTATTTACAAAAGTGAAAATTTTAAGTAAATTTCAAATTGAAACGGACATGCATCCTTTTGAGACAACAGCTTAATTGAAAGGCAAACCCTTTGAATGAGACTACAGTTTCATTTTGCAGGCAGAAAAAGCAGTTAAATATATTTTAATCTTTTTCACTTTCCATGTTCAAGTCAAAGGGGACACTGATCTAACTGATCAGTACTCAATCCCTAGGAATCATGGAAAACCATATTGCACATGCATATGCAATTGCGGGATCTTAAAACGTCATCAGTGACACTGACCTGAGATCTTTTCCTAGTCTCTACACCTCCTTCCATACACACAGTCCACCCTCACAGACAGTGAACCACCCTACACAGAGTACATCACTCCATACACACGCAGTGCACCCCTGACACACTTCATCCCACACATAAACTCTTCACCCTTCACCCACTTCATCCCCACGTACATTTACCCACACACATCGATACTTCACCCTATTACACACCGACTTTCCCATATACATACATATATACTACAGCTCCTTGATAAACACACAATGCAACCTCAATGCACATACACACCCACTGCAGCCCATAGATACACACGCACACACTTTACAGGCAATATCAGCACACACACACAATCTCTACTAAAACTACAGCCACTGATGGGGCCCATCGAGTGGCCCATGCACTTAGGGCCACCCAATGGGCATGTATTTTCAGGGGCTCAAAAAAATCTTGCACCAGGGCCCTCTCTATGTTAGTTCCACCACTGCATTATATGATTATTGCATTGATAATACCTTACAGTATAGTAAAAAAACATTTTCTTTGCCTTAGACAAAATCTTATTTCTTCCAGTTTAAACGCATGACCTTGTGTCCTGTGTAAAGTCCGGTTTGTGAATAGATTTCCACACAATGGTTTGTATTGGCCCTGGATATATTTCTATAATGTTATCATATCCCCAATGAGGTGACGTTTTTCTAAACTAAAGAGGTTTAAATTTAACCTTTCTTCATAGCTAAAATGTTTCATTCCTTTTATTAATTTTGTAGCCGTCCTCTGCACTCTTTCTAGTGCCATAATATCCTTCTTTAGAACAGGTGCCCAAAATTGCACAGCATATTCAAGATGTGGTCTTACCAGTGATTTATAATGAGGCAAAATGATATTCTCATCCCAAGAAGTCCTCGAGTCTAACTCTTTGCTAGTCCCGCTTCAGTCTGGTTTCCGCGCTAGGCACTCTGTGGAAACGGCACCGACCAAAGTATCCAACGATCTACTTGTTGCAAAATCCCGCGGTCACTATTCTATCCTAATTCTCCTTGACCTGTCTGCAGCTTTTGACACTGTTGATCATCAACAGCTTCTTCTCATCCTTCACAACATCGGTCTACAAGATATTGCCTTTTCCTGGTGCTCCTCCTACCTCTGCCAGCGCTGTTTCAGTGTTTCTTTCTCTGGCTCTGCTTCTTCTCCCAAACTCCTCTCTGTTTGTGTCCCCCAAGGTTCAGTCCTTGGTCCCCTACTGTTCTCTATCTATACTGCCTCCCTTGGTAAACTCATTAGCTCCTTTGGCTTCCAATATCATTTCTATGCGGATGACATGCAAATCTACCTGTCCTCTCCTGATCGCTCGCCGTCCCTCTTAATTAGTGTCTCTGACTGCCTCTCTGCTATTTCTAACTGGATGGCTGCCCACTTCCTTAAACTCAACTTGACCAAAACTGAAATTCTAGTCTTTCCTCCCTCAAGTGTTGCTACTCCTGTGTCTGTCTCCCTCCAAGTCATCGGTGCTACCATCAGCTCCAGCATGCAGGCTCACTGCCTAGGTGTTCTCTTTGACTCCGACCTCTCCTTCAGGCTTCATGTTCAGTCTATCACCAAATCCTGTTGTTTCCATCTCAAAAACATTGCGCTCATCTGACCCTACTTAACGCCAGATGTGACTAAGATGCAAGTCCGTTCCATTGTCCTTTCTCGCCTTGACTACTGTAATCTACTTCTCAGTGGTCTTACGTGCTCCCAACTTGCGCCGTTACAGTCCATAATGAATGCAGCAGCTAGGCTCATCTTCCTGTCTGCCTGCACCTCCCACGCCTCACCTTTCTGTCAGTCCCTACATTGGCTTCCTGTAAGATATAGGGCTCAATTTAAAATTCTGGTTCTTGCTTTCAAATCTCTACATAATGCTGCTCCCACCTATCTATCCTCACTAATACACAAGTATGTCCCGTCTAGGCCCTTAAGCTCTGCTGAAGACTTGGGTATATCTTCTGTCCGTACTCCCACCTCTGATGCTCGCCTTCAAGACTTCTCCAGAGCTGCACTGTTCCTGTGGAACTCCCTCCCCTCCTCTGTTAGATGCTCACCCAGTCTCCACTCCTTCAAAAAATCATTAGAAACCCACTTCTTCATAAAAGCGTATCAATTAAACTGTTAAGAGCTCCCGACTGATTCCTCTCTTGCAACTGTCATTAGTCTAATACTATCCTTACCTTTTGTGTCACTTTAACCCACTCCCTCTAGCATTTAAGCTCATTGAGCAGGGCCCTCGTGTCCAGTTACAACTACATGTCTGTTTGTCCACCCACTGTAAAGCGCTACGGAATTTGTTGGCGCTATATAAATAATAACATAATAATAAAATAATAATAATAATAAGAAGAAGAATGAATGCCCTTTTTCATGCATGACAATACCTTACTGGCCTTAGCCATTGCTGATTGACATTGCACATTGTGACATAGTTTGTTGTCTATAACAATTCCCAAGTCCTTCTCGTGAGTGGTTATCTCTAAGTCGCTTCCATTAAGGGTATAAGCTGCTTGTGCATTCTTGACTCTGAAATTCATAACTTTGTATTTTTCTAGATTAAATTTCATCTGCCATATGAGTGCCCAGTATCCCAGTCAATCTAAATCCCACTACAGCAAAGTAATATCTTGCTTACATTGTATTGCTTTACAGAGTTTTGTCATCTGCAAACACAGAAACATGACTTTCAATGCCTTTTTCAAAATCATTTATAAACATATTAATTCGAAGGGATCCCAAAACGGAACCCTGAGGGACACCACTTGCCACCACTATCCAGCTTGAAAATGTACCATTAATGACAACTATATATTCTATTTTTAAGCCGATGTTCTACCCAAGAACAAACATTTCATCTAGACTGATTTTATTTGAGTTTGAACACTAATCTATTGTGTGGAACTGTATCAAACGCCTTGGCAAAATCCAAATGGATCACATCCACTGCAACACTCTGATCTATACTTCTACTTACTTCTTCATAGAATGCA